TCCAGGGAGCTTAGTCCCGTGGGACACGTATCTCCTGTCCGCTATTATTGACATAATTGTTCATGTCACACGGACGACACTGGAGTTGGTGTGGCAGCCTGCCATGTGGCTCATGGCTTGTTACCTCATATTCTGCATGTCATGCTTCCTCTGCATCTCCTTGAGACTCTGCCCTCCTTCTTCCCAACATTCTCTGTGCCTGGAAATCTTGCCTAGCTATTGGCCATTAAGCGCTTTATTAAACCAACCAGAGTGACACATCTTCACAGTGCACAAAAAGGATTATTCCATAACAGAGTAGGGATGATTTATGATGACATGATCTTGTTTGCAAGAATAGCTAAATGACTCCTGTAAATTTGGAACTTTGTCATATTTAGGACATTTTCCAGGATTAGTAGGAAATGGCAGCATACATCTATGGTTTCCGCTTTTGAGGAATTCATTTAAATACCACGGAAGATCCCAATAACCTTCCATGACAGTTAGGAGCTATATGCTTAGAATTGCCAAAAGAATTATGTATCTGTTTCTTGGTTTTCTGTAGTCAGTATTCAAGCAGAGATAGATATTCGTGTTACCATTGTAATTTTTACTTATTTATTTTTATTTTTGAGATTATTGTATAATTACAGTATTTTGCCTTTCTATTTGCTTTCTCTAAACCCTTCCATATATTCCTCTCCACTCTCTCTCCTTCAAATTAATTGCCTCTTTTTTTCACATATATGCATGCTGTTACATGCATATATGTGTATGTTTATACATATATATTCCTAAATAAAACCCGTTTGGCCCATGTAATATTTCTCGTGTGTATGTTTTCAGGGCTAATCATTTGTCACTGAACAACCAATAGGTGTGATCTTCCTTGGGGAAGTCCACCTTTCCTGCTCCCAGCTTTCTTCAGTTGCCCAGAGTCCTGTGTGCACGGTTGAGGCCTCTCAGGGGGCTTTTCTCCACCCACATCTGCATGTCCATTGGTGTCACCCTCATTCAGCTCAGATTTGGGTAGTCTTTCATCCTTTCTTACTTGCTGTTCCTTTTTACCTTCTTATGTTTTGCATCATTTTCTTTAAAAAAAAACATTTTAAAATGGTGAAGCTTTTGATATTATTAGATTCATGTTACTTTTATTTCTACAGTGGTCCTCAACCTTGCTACTGCTGTGACCCTTTAATACAGTTTTTCATGTGTTGCAGTCTGGGGAAGGCCAGCTCTTCAAAACTGCTCCAGGGTTGTGAATAGAAGACCTCAGAGCAGTGAGGGCTTAGGAAAAATTCTTATCTATCTCAGGGTTAGATTTTTTTCTATGTGTGGGGTAAAATAAGAAAACACACATGCTTTCTGAAGGTAACTTTCTCTTTTACTTCATCTTAAAAAATGTCTTTCTCTGAAAATCTGTCTCCACACTCTACATCTCTTTACATACAGCTATATATTTCTCTACTCTGTTATATTCCTTCATCTACTCCTGCATCATCCATTCACTCTTTACTCATTCAGTTTCTCACCTTGCTCTCTCATTCTTTTCCTCTGACCAACTTTGAACAATTATATGTTACATTTTTTTTCTACCCATTGGGCTGTATCCCTCACTCAGCACTTACACCTACGCACACTCATACACTCACACACTCACTGCTTATTCACATCCAAACTCTGGACAATTATATGTTACATTCTCAGGGCCTGGCCCATTCTCATAACACATGATAAGTCACGTAGTTTCTCTCAGGCTGGGAAGGTCACGCTGACTTGGCGATGCACAGAGCTCTAAGTTGGTGAGGGTTCCAAGACAGAAAGTAAACAGTTGGCTGAACCTTGAGCCTAAGAATATGTGTAGTCAATTACTGTAGGGGGTCATGTCTCAATGTAAACAGCCTGACCTTGATTTAGTAATAAACACCTGGGAACTAGTCTTTGTGTATTTCTGAAGGGGCAGCTTAGTCTATTTTTAATTTGTTCTGAAGTCTAAAATTAACTGACTTTGAGACTGAAATATTGTTACTTTCCTGTGTCAATTAAGAAAAATATTCTGGTATTATTTCTATTCGTCAGAATTATACAGCTTAAATAGAAATTATCTCCTGATCATTTACAAGTATGTGTGCCCAAAGATGTAAAACACACTACCAGTGGGCTGTGGAAAGAACCCCACAGCTGTTGCTTTTAGGGAGGTAAGAGGTTGCACAAGAGAAAGTTACAGACAGAAAACAAGCAGTTTCCACAGCCAGTGACCCCACAGACTTTGCCTAGTGGGGCTCCTCAACAGAGAGTTATACGTCACCTGCTGTATACTCCCACGACCTCTGGTAAAGCCATTGCTACCAGCAGCTCTCAGCACTCATGGGGTGGTGACCCCCAACCTTTAAAGTATTTCACTGCTACTGCATAACTGTAATTTTGCTACAATTATGAATAATAATGTAAATATCTGATATGCAGGATATCGGATATGTGACCCCCCTGTGAATGGGTCATTTGACCCTCCAAAGGAGTCATGACCAACTAGGCCAGTTGAGAATCACTGCCCAAGTAGTTTGAAGTAGATGATAGCATAAGTTGTTTGATAGTAACGTGGGGTACTGGTTTAGAAATGAATACTGTTATTGGTCCAGTTTTACAAAGGTAGAAACTCAGGCACTCACAGGTTAAGTGGCTTACCAAAAGCCACAGTTAGCAAGTGATAAAGTTTGTATCCAGACCTTCTCAGTGCTGAAAACAAAGCCCCTGCTCCATTTTTTCTTTTAAAAAAGGTATCTTTTAATTTAAAAATTATTTTTTTTATTGGGGGAGTATGATGTGTGGGAGATGGGCCATGGAGCATTTGTGTGTCAGAGGACTATGTCGTGGAGCAGTTCTCTCCTTCTGCCTTTATAACATGGGTTCTAGGATCCAAGTCATGTTGTCAGGCTTGTGTGGCACGGCCTTTACTACTGAACTATAGTCCTGCTCTTTCTTCATTTTTATTCTATTATTCTTACCAAATATGTCACTTGCTATTTGAAAAGTGTATTTTTTGATGGCTGCCTAACTTCTTTGAGCATCCTCTTTATTCTTGACATATGTGTGGTTTTTGATAATAAATTTCAAAAATTTTAGTTGTAATCCAGAATTTTAAGATTCTAGAAATTCCTACAATAAGAAAAGTTTGCTATAATAAGGAATAACAATGTTTTAAGACCATTATACCATATGAAATTCTTTTCCAAAGATGTTAAAAATGTATAGGCTGGGTGTATTTATGAATTCTTTACAAAAGTATTTTGCAATCTTGTACGATGATCTCAACCAGACAGACAGGCGGAGTCAACAGCCCTGGTGGGAGTTAGGTTGCTAAATGAGAGCTTATCAAAGCAGGAATGTCATGTATCATTAAGGTCTACCCGTTCTTAGTAATAAACAACTACAGTTCAGATGTTCCAAACATAAGTAAAGGATATGTTCTAAAGTATAGCACAGAATGAAGGTTAGAACCAGAACCTCTGCTTGGAGACATGTGATGTAGCCTGACTCTTGGAAGGTTTGGATGACTCAAGAGTGCATGAAATGAGCGTCTAGGGTCTTGATTGGAGATATAGGATGCAGTATTTGGGTCAGCTTCACAGTTTCCTTCAGGACATCACTTTAAATCAGAGGAGAGTAACCCAAAGTAAGAGGCCCAGTACTCACTAAAAGAAATAGTGATTCTAGTTTCCTGGACTAGGAACATGGTGACATCCTCTTTTGTGAGTTTTCTTGAATCTGACCTACTATTAGATTTTCAGGATAATTGTGGACTCTACTTTCACTGTTGATAGTACAATAAATATGTTTAAAAGAAGGGCTTCAGAAACAATTAAAAACTCACATTATTCAAGACTGATTTATACCCTTGACTGAAACTAGAGGGTAGTTCTGTTTATTAGTTGAGTATGGCAAGGATGTGAGCAAAATTTGTAATGTGGTTTGGGTTGGTGTCAACAGGCTATGGTGTTGTAAATTAAACCTCAAACTTTCAGTGATATATATCAATAAGGGGTTTTACACACCACACACACACACACACACACACACACACACACACACACACACACACACAATCTCAGTCAGGCTGGCTGCCCATATTTGTGCAGTAGAGGTGTCATGCCAAAGTAGCTGAGGCAAGAGGAGAGCTAAGGTGAGCAGACTTCAGTGACTCAGCTTGAAAGTGACACGTACCAACTCCTTGCTCAGTCAACTAGCCAGAATTAGAAACATGGTTCAAATCCAGCCGGATAAGAAGCCTAGAAAATATGTAGAAGAACACACAAATATTTCATGAATCCTACAGGTCTTTAATAATACATTCTTGATCCTTGCCCCTTTAAAACTGTCTACTCAAAATCTATAGGTAGTATCACATCTTTTTTGTTGTTGTTGTTTGTTTGTTTTGTTTTTGTTTTTAGAGACTGGATTTGTCTGTGTAGTTTTGGTGCCTGTCCTGGATCTCGCTCTGTAGACCAGGCTGGCCTCGAACTCACAGAGATCCGCCTGGCTCTGCCTCCCGAGTACTGGGATTAAGGGTGTGTGTCACTACCACCTGGCTCACATCTTTTTAAATTAAACAAACTGTCCCACAGCTTCATGTTGTTTTCCTTTATGATTGAAGGGCACTCGTATGATATAGTACATACCGTGTTTTGAAGAAATCAAAACTTTTTTCTTATCAATTCCAAGATCTCCGTAAACCATTTAACTTCTCCAAACACACTTCTCAGCTGAAAATTGAATAGTGATTTCTCATCTGTGGATATTTTTCAAAAATTAGGTTATGGATAGCATGTAAAACACTTGACATGGGGCCTAATGCATGATAGATGTTAAACAAATGCAAGTTTTCAGGGTTTTTTTGGTTTTTTGAATGGTCAGTCTTATAGTAGGATCTACAGTATAATCCTCAGATAGCAATGTACTCAGTGTGGACAAGAGGTATTCTTGCTGAGTTTAAGTGAAATGTCTATTTCTTATTGTTGTAGGTCATGGGGAGTTTCAAAGGTCATGCCCTCCCTGGAACCTTCTTCATTATCATGGGCTTTTGGTGGGGTACAAAGAGTATTCTGAAATATGTCTACAAAAAGCAAACTCGGACCTGCTACCTTAGTTCCAAAACCTTATTACGTCGAGCAGAGATTTGGGAAGGAGTTGTTTCGATCTTCATGGCTCTTACTGGTAAGTTGACTGTGGCCATGTTCTGTTTTTTCCTTTTGAGTATTTCATGAGTTGGGAAAAAAATGTCAATACAAGATGAAGAAATGAATCTAAATAAATTTCATACAAATATGTCTCTTAGTACTTATCCCAATTACAGTTTATAACTGATGTAATCTTAGGAAAATGATATTTCATAATTATACAAAAGCCTGAGTCTTAATATTTAATTTGCCTATCCAACCAAGTGAATTTCCTTTGTATCATAAGTTGGAGCCTATGAAATAGTTTGATACAAGTTCTTCTGATCCTTCAAAGAGTAAACTCTGTAAGAAATCATTTTGTAAATTACACTAAAGTAATCAAGTGATTATGGGAAATCTTCCATAACAAATCATTTCTGAGAGATGATAAAGGGAATTGGGCCTGAAGGAGATCTTGCTCCTGAGCATCCACCTTGTGCCCTGAGTTGGACAGAGTCCAGGTAACTTTTAACTTCAATAACTTTCCACTGTTATTGTACATTCTATAAAAGGTTCTGCATTTCACAGTCATGCTGTAGCTGCTGCTTTGTAAATGGTAGCACTTCTAATTTTTCCGCTGGTTCTCTTCATTCATGGCAATAGGACTTCACTATGACCATCAAATCACAAAGTGACCATTTCCAAAAAGAGGAATTTCCCTGCCCATTCCAGAGGCTAACCAGGCAGCTTCCAGAAAACAACAGCAAACCTGTCTACATCAATGAACCATCTCGACTATTCTTAATTGGGGAAAAGGCTAAATTCTTCATCAATTTTGTCAGAAATCAAGGAAAACATTCTACTTTGTCTAAGAGTGCAATATCTAGAAAGAAAGTAATCATCCTTTAAATGACATATATCATAAATCCAAACCTCCAAGTCATCCAGTATTTTAGTCACTAAATTACAACCAGTTGTTGAACTCAAATTACCATTGTTAAGGATATGAAATAGTTGCTTGCATCATTTGTCTCTGTGTAGATAAAACTTGTTACCCAAACCTGCAGCTAAACTTTGGAATCAAGTCTAAATTACTATTGCTAGCTTTTCAATGGAAAGCTCGGAGGGAGGAATCGACATCATAAGGTTAGAATAAGCGACGAATACATGTCCCTGTGTCTTCACAGTTACTATGTAGAGTCAGGAAGAGGATTGCTAAAACTGTGGTATGTTCCTCTGCAGGTATTGTCGGGGAACAGTTTATCTCAGGCGGACCCTACCTGATCCTGTATAAAGACGGCCAGTGGAACCAGCTTCTGGGCTGGCATCATACAACCATGTACTTCTTCTTTGGGCTACAGGGTGCAACCCATATCTTATGTTTCACTACCAATTTCCTTCCGCTTTCCTTAAGCAAGTTAATGTTATCAAATGCCATCTTTGTGGAATGTAAGTATGAGGGAAATATGTTTTCTGTTCTTTTCCTATCTATCAGTGGGCATTGATGTTGTGCTTTATAATAACATATTTTTTCTTTCTCTATATCACTTTGATTGGCAGGGCTATCTGTCTGGGCCATAGTTGGATATATGGTTGTCCTAGAGAAGATACCTATAGTCTTCCTTTCTTCATCTTTTTAAACTAACTTAATAGATCTAGCCAGACACAGCCACTCAAAAAGTTATTTTGAATTTCATATATGTCTTTGAAATCATCTACAGTGGGCACTTACCTCTTGGTTGTTGTGGAGCTTATCATTCTTTTTATTTCTAACAATGAAAACTGAACTCAGAATAATAGTGCATGGATTACTTGAAATGGGGCAACCACTCAATAGAAAATGTCTACCAATCTCTAATAAGCTTTTCATATACCAAAAACAGAGATTCTCCCAAAATGTGATATGTAGGGTCTAAAAAGTGACTTCCTAATCTTGAGAGATTAGTGAAAATAACAGGATGTTTCTTTTAGTTGATTTCTCAGGTTATCGTAAGGAGGGCAAGATAAAACGAGTGTTTAATAATTTGTTATAATTTATGTACTCATTTGCTGAATTCCCTAAATTGAGACCTTGACTTCAGCTAATTTATCTGTACGTTCATATTAATTAGAGCTCCCTACCCTAGTCATGTTCATTGTACATTTTCCTACATAGACAATGCTTTGAACAACAGTTGAAAATTCTCTGGTATGTTAGAAGAGAGAAGAAAGGTTAGAAGAAGGGGAAAGAGGGGTTAGACTTCAAAGATTCTCTTCCTAAGTAAGAGACAATGTTCACTCTCCCTAAAGTAAAAATACATTGCTATGAGAGTCAGTGGGGATTTGCTCTCTGGGGCAGTTTTACGTTCCTATAAAATTCCGTGGCAAGAGGGTGGTACAGCGGGAAGCCTTTGGTTTGATCAGGAAATGTGTTTTGCCCCCTCTGTTAGCGTTTATCTTCTACAACCACACTCACGGTCGGGAAATGTTGGATGTTTTTGTGCACCAGCTTCTGGTCTTTACCACCATTTTGACGGGGCTGGTTACCTTCATGGAATTCCTCGCAAAGAACAATGTACTTCTGGAGCTCCTGCGGTCAAGTCTCATCATCCTGCAAGGAACCTGGTTCTGGCAGGTGAGTTGGGACTTGTAGCTAGCACACATGATGTCACTTATCTGCAGTTTCTCTTATTCACTGATGAGGCATTTGCTTTCAATACTTCCCTTCTAGGAGCATCACAGAAGTGATGTTCTTGGAGCAGCCTTGTGGTTCTGGTGAGACTGCCGTTAGAGTAGCTGTGGAGGAAGCAGACAGTGTATTCCTTCATTATGGATCCACTCATCCTTTATGCAGGAATTTTGAGCTGATGATTATGGTTGTAAGTGATTCCTAGTGCTAGAACAGCTTATAGCCTAATGGACCATAAGCTCAAGAGCTATATGAAAGACCCAAGAGAGAGAAAACACTTGTTGAGAGACAACCATGTGGTGGCCACCATATGGATTTTATGTACATCTTATTTTATCTATTTTTTCCAAAAAACAATTATCTCATATTTTATCTTGTTTATAAAATCTAGGTATGAAAAGAAAACCATGAAAATCAAGCGAGGGAGGGGACCAGAAGGGGGACCCAGTGGCAGGAAGAGCAGGACAGGAGAACAAGTTACATGGTGTGTGTGTGATGCAAAGGCGCCATGAAGCTCAGGATTTGGGGAACAGTGTGGGGCTAACAAGATGGCTCAGTGGTGAAAAGTACTTGTCACTTTTGGAAAGGACAGAGCTTTTGTTCTTAGCACTCATGGCTCATTAACTCCTGTAACTCCAACTCCAGGGGTCCAGCATCTCTGGCCACAGATGGTGTTTGGTCAGGGCTGGACCCCCTGCTTAGAATTCCCCAGTGAGGGCCTGGGGTTATGGCTCAGAGGTAGAGCCCATCTTGTTTTATTGTATTCTCATACCCTCACATTGATCCAGAAGTTAGGTATTACCACCTCTAATTTGCCTATAGGTATCTTCAGCAAGACCAAGAGTTTTCTCATGCTCAAACAGGAATATAGCTAGAATCTAAATCTTGACTTCTCTAATCCCAAATCCCAGACACTTCCCATTTTCTAGCATCATCAGCTCCCTAAATTTGCCATGCTGTTGAGAGCATGAATTCAAATGGTGGACTTACATTTTTGAGAGACTATCAAGTCACAATCATGTTCATATATACACGTAAACAAAGTCCAGAATGAGTTGAGAGTATGGTTTGATTAGGACAGACTTTGAGGAGGAGAATTTTAGTCACCAGAGAGCTGGGATTTGGGATGATGTGGCTGTGTCAGGGACTTGAATTTCCTTCCCATCAGAACTGATAACAGAATTGCCAGGTGATGATAAAAGAAGAGCTGTGGTTTAAACGGGATATGATGATGTAATATCCACACACGTCGGGGAGGTAGAAGAACTTGTGGTGCAGAGACCCGTAAGGTGGGACTCGGTTTGTGCATTGGTTCGAAGTATGCTTCATAGAAAAATATTACAAATACCCTATAAGGCGATCAATCTATTGCCAGCTTAGGTAGAGTATTAGCCCTCCGCAGGGAACCTAAATGGAGTAAAGAGGATGGGATGTAAAGAACTAGTGTGCTGTGAATTGCAGTGCTTTCCTGTGTGCACATGTTTGGGAGTCAAAAGATGTAGTCAGAAGTTTTCCTGTGTCCTGCCTGATCCCACAGCTGCTCTGACCCAAATAAACACACAGAGGTATATATTAATTACAAACTGTATGGCCATGGCCTATGGCTCAAGCTTCTTTCTCACTAGTTCTTATAATTTAAATGACCCCATTTCTATTAATCTATGTTTTTGCCACGTGTTCCGTGACGTTACCTGTGTGCCATTACATGCTGCTCCCTGGACAGTGGAATGGCATCTTCTCTGCCTCTCCTTTCTCCTTTCACTGTCTCCCTTAGATTTTCCCACCTGGCTCCATCCTGCCCTGCCATAGGCCAAACGGCTTTATTTATCAACCAATTAGAGCAACACATATTCATAGCATACAGAAAGATATCTCATGGCCAAAAGGAAAGATGTTTTTTCAAGAGAAAATTTCTGGGGAAGTTGACACAGTGAGCTTATGCTGCAGTGAATATTCTCTGCTCTGAACACATAACAAAGACAGATAAGATAGATGCTGCAGTGAATATTCTCTGCTCTGAACACATAACAAAGACAGATAAGATAGATATATGCCTATTGATTTGAAAAAAATGGAAAATAAAAAGAAATTTTTTTAAAAAATTAGAAAATATCTAAGTCCACTCAAGTAAATTAGACTAAAGCAGGGCATAAAGTCTGGTGGGCCAAAAGCAGAACAGAAGCACAGGGCTGGAGAGGAGTGAGCTGGAGACCTGCTGATCCCAGTCCAGGGCAGACAGCGACTGACAGCTGTTGGGGAAAAGCCAGGCTCTTGTAACATTTTCTGCTGTGGACATATTTTATATCTATGATCGTTTCCATCAGTTTCTTAAAGTCTGTGGAAATTTTATGTTACGGTATGGATTTGCTGATTTCCTATTTTCACTTTTTTTTAAAAATTATAAGACTGGCTTTCACTCCTTTTTCTCTAGTTTTTTTTTTGGGGGGGGTAGGTGACAATTCATTTATTTTTAACCTTTCTTGTTTAAAAACCACATCGAAGTCTAGGTATTATTTGAACTGTAATTTTTAGTGATGTATTTCTAGTGTGCTTTCAGCTTTAATTCATGAGTTCTTTTGACGATTTGGTTTCTTTACTTTTTTTGGTACAGGGACTAAAAGAATGACCTTAAGCTAAATGGGCATACTTCCTACCACCTACCACTGAGTTGTAGGCCCAGGTCAAGGAACATAATTTTAAATTTGAGAGTGTATCTTTTCTAAATATCACTCCTTTCCAGTTAATTGCATTGTGAGCAGAAAATGTGTTGGCTTTGATGGTTGCTGACACTTCCCTTGGGACATAACCTGATGTCAGTATGAATTTTCTATGTGTTTAAAAGGTGTATATCACTTCTTTGCTCAGTTCAGTCTTCTATATGTTGTTATCTTCCTGTTACTGCATCAAATGCCTGAGCTGATTAATTATAGCGAGAAAGTGGTTATTTTCATACGCGGTTTCAGAGGTCCTAGTCTATGATTTGTTAGTTCCTTTGAGGTTTAGGCCTATAGTGAGTGGGCATATCACAACAGGAACATGTGTGGAGAATACTCGCCTCATGATTGGAAAGTGAGAGAGAGAGGTAATGGTCAGGGTTCCACTGTCTCCTTCAAGGATGTGCCTCTAATGACCTAAGGGCTCCTTTAGGCCTCCAACCTAAAGGGTAAGAGACCTCAACAGTGATACCATGGAGGGCAAGCCTCTACCATATGGACGTTGGGGAGGTATATATTATTCAAATTATAGCATACATACATACTAGTTTAATTGTATTAATGAACTTAATATTCATGTTAAAAAAAAAAAAGGACAGTAAGAACAAGAGAAGAAATCCAAAGAGAGTTGAAGAAAGGAATTATAAGATCAAATTATGATTAATAAGATCAATTATTATCTAGTTAATACTTAGTGATTGGTCCTGCTTAGACAAAAAGAGGGATGTCATACTATAAATCAACCAAGAACAGGACAGCTTAATGCTGCCACTTTGAGCACAAAAATAATATTTTCATATTTACTGAAAAGTTTTCTATAAAAAAAAACTTATGAGGTTACAATCTTTAGGGATAAATTTCTGATTTTTTCAAGTCTTTTAACCTATCAGTATGTCTAGATTGATTTCTTATAGACCAGGTGTCTAACCTCACTATTGCCTTGGACTCTTAAAGAAAAATAAACATTTTATAGCTGTGTAAATACACAGTAACTGAAAATGATGCTTTAGCTACAGTAACTGCCTCATCCATTGACTCCTCTGAAATAAAAATGTCTAGCAACGTAGGGGAATGTCTTATGCTTCTATGTTTTATTTGTATGTGCAGTGTGTGCACATTCATGTTCAAATATCTTTCCTAAGCTAATGACACTGTATTGTGATTTGCTTTTTACAACTTTTATCTCTTGCTATGTCTCCACAAATAGCCAACAGTAGCACTTTAGTTATATATAGACAGATTTTGAGTAAATGCCCCTTGGACTCTTGGAAACGTCTGTATGGAGATTTGAGCTGAATTAGGCAAATGTGTATAACTTGCATTGAAATGATCGTGTAATCTGCAGAAAGAAGAGAAATCCCCTCCTAACCTATAAAAAGTTCTTTCCTGAAGCACGTGACATTTAAAACATGTTTATTCAACGACCAAGCCATTTTGTGTAATTTAAAAAAGAAAAGAAACTCCCTGTGCCCTTAACTCCATGACAGTCTCTTCTGGGTCTCCCTGTGGGAGAGCAACTCCGAGGCTCACTTTGTGCTTTGTTTTTCCTTCGCTTCTCCTCATCCTCCTCAGAGTACAGGACAGGCAGGCAGTGGGGAAGCGGCTTCTGTTGCCTTTGCTTTTTGTCACTTGGGACAGTTGTTTCCTGTGTATGGTCTATCTTCATTTGTCCTCGCGTCCCAAAGATTGCTGGCAGGACAACTGCCCCGATTATGAGTCCAAACTGTAACTCATCTTCATCTGGACATTCAGAAAAATAAACGGCAGTTAAGAGCACATGACACTCTAGTGGAGGACACAGGTTCAGTTTCCATCACCCGTATGGTGGCTCACAACCCTCTGTAACTCTTGTCTTGGGTATCAGGCATGCAAGTGATGTTCAGAAGTACATGCAGGTAAACGTTCATACACATAAAATAAAATAAATAAATCTTTATTTAAAATGAAAGTCCATTCCAAAAGGGAAAAATGACTCACAGTAGTACTCCAAAGCCTGATATCATACATAAAATACATGTTTGGTCTTGTAATGTTGATGTAAATGAGAATAATAAAATATGCAGTGATATATAATTCACACTGTAAACTATAGAAAATGAGTCTCTGGCTTATTCCTTATTGGAGAAGAAAGTTAACTATAGTTGAAACCTAATAGTAGTGAGGCTTAAACCAATCAAACCATGTTTTTGTTGTTGTTGCTGTTTTTTTTGGAGAGTGGCGTACAAAATATAG